CATCAACCTTGTGAATGCAGTATTGCTTAGATAATGTTATTCCCGTTTTTCAGATGAGGAGACAGAAGTTTATAGAGGGTAGGTTATTTTGCCAAGTCAACACAGTACCTGGTAGATTCAATTCAGGAGAGTCTGGTTGTAGCAGCTATATCCTTTGACCACGCTGCTATATTCTCCCTTTGAATGAAGCAGGTTAATACTTCTTACCTCATAACTAGTGAGAAATTAGAACAATTCTTAAGGAGAGCTTTCATCTGTTAAATAAACTGAAGCCGTTTTTGTAAGTCCAGTAAATATCATTTGCAGTAAATAGTATTTCACCAAGTAAGAGTTTAACTCAATCTGTTGAAGATTTGAACTCTTATCTTCCTGGCTAACTGAAAGCCCAAACATTGAAAATTCATTAAATGGGGTGAGCATGTGATGGGCCCCACAGTTATAGGGCTTCCTTGGCAGCCAGCATGTCTGCACTTGCCTCTTGCTAGGAGATGGTGTGAACCCCCACTAACAACAGGAATGATGGCTAGGCAGCCATTGATGTAGTTTATTGATGACTCGCTTTGATGCCTTTGATGGAAGACTGTGGATAGGGAAGCTTCTATAGTAATGAGGTTTAGGGAGTATAAATGACCTATCAGCAGACCTGGGACTTGAACACTGGTTTCTGTGCCCTAGACATTTTGTCACTGCCCCTATGTCTTCCTGACCAGCTCTGTGCTGTTGTGCTTTTCATTGTGTCTCACTGCTTCTCAGTAACAAAAGGCTCTGCGAGTGCTCCAGAAGTGGAACACAGCCCGAAGTTTGCCTGTTCCACATGGCTTCTAAAAGGTCAGGTACCCAATCTGATGGGCTGTTTGGTAAGCTGCTTGTGTAGCACTTTGTTGTCTTTGTGTTTGCTTTCTTGTATAGTTTGTGTTTATGATTATTGTTTCTGGCAGTTTGGAGTACATATGAGTGCTTAATCTCAGATGAGGTATAGCTAGCTAGTTGATTGAATAAGAAAAATGGTAAGAGTATGTGGTGGGAGGCTGACGTCAATAAATTGAATAAGTCTTCCCTTTTATTTATTGTTGTGTTCTTCCAGACCTGCCTAGTTATGTTAAATATGCCTGACCTTTTCCCCTGCTTGACTTTCAGGGCTTCAACATGCATATAAAGGCTTCCAATGTGATTAGCATTGATGCTTCTGAGATCGCATGGAAACTAGATGGTCAGAGATAAATTGTGGGTCTCAGCAGTGGTCAGCCCAGGAGGCTTCGACATCTGCCTCTTGCCTGGATTGGAAATGTTGCTAGGGCCATATGGCAGAGACCCTCACAGAGGAGCCTGCGATGACTTTCTGGCTTGGTATCAGGTTATATATTTTAGACTGGAAGTTATAGTGCTTCAGGCTTGATTTATTGTATACTAATGGATTAATTCTTAGCATAAAATGGCATAGGGGCATGTGCGTGTGTGTATCTAGAATTCAATTTCAGTAATGTTATCAATATTCCATTCAGGGAGAGGTTTTATTAAACTATGTTTCTCTTTATAAGTATGGAAAGAAAAGCACCCATGGTTAATATGTATCTGACCCTTGATTGACCTCTTCCCTTAAAAATGCAAACTGTTTTGTTTAGAACAAAGTGAAGTGGTATGACTGGCTCTTTCTGTTTGCTTGTTTAATCTCTAATTATCATTTAGTGAAATGCCAAACTGCCTTCCCTACATGCACAGGAGTTATTAATGTCCTGTTTTGTATGCCTGTTTACATACATGCTGCTGACTCAAAGAACATCTCTAAACATACATACTCAAGACTTGGAAAACCTAAATTAAAAGAGATAAACGTTGAGAAGTTAAAAAAAATTAGATGTCGGTTGATTATTATGAGAAGGTGCCTCTCTCTAAGTGTCTATCTGTCAAACCTCCCTTGTCTCCACATCAGTTCATTTGGCCTCTCTACCTTCCCTGCTTCTGCTCTCCCCTCTCCATGAGCTTCATCCTCAGTCCCTTTGTCCCACCCCCATCTCTCAGATTGTACATATATCACTCCTGTGTTGACTTTCAATCATGACTATTACCTGTGTATTTCTATTATTTTCACTTGTTGCCATAGCAGAATTTTCCTTTTTATTTATGTGGCTATACATAGCACTTTAAAATGTTTTAAAAGCCAAGTCTGAGATGACACAAAAATTTTAAACCTGCTTCAACTCTTCTGACTTTATCTCCACTCCACTCCACACCCACACCCTCTTCCTGACTCTGTCATGGAGATGGTTACACAGTGATTTGAAATTAGGCTTGGAGCAATGAATAAATGGAATACTTTGAGATTCTTCTTGATTTATGCCTTTAAGATTTGGACTTGCAAAATAAACATTGGTTCTCATTTGTGGTAATAATAACAGCTATATAATCTTCCAGGAAACTCCTTATCACCAGAATAATAAGTCTGCACTCCCAAGAGGCCCCTAAGGTTAATAATTTGACATCATGGTTATGAAATATCTGGACTTTTATGTGACTTTATAAATAGATGGTCACACATAGAAGCTAGGGACACACTTTTTCTTTTTGTGTTTTAGGAAATCATTCCTTAAGGGCAACAGGCATTTTCTCCACTCTGCAACAGTTCTTTTGAAGAACTTTTCCCCTTAATGGAATTGTATAGTATCATTTCATCTCTAGAAGGAGGTGATGGCTAGTTGTTATAATCATACTGCTTTCCTCTACTAAGTAGAAAACCTAAAGAGAGGTTTTTGCAGTGGGGCCCAGTGTATCATTTAGTAAATCATACTTGTTGGTATAGGATGTTTAATTAAACTGCCAAGAAGGTTCTTCATTTTGACTCTCATTTTGATTTAAATATACTCTGTTCTGGTTGACATATTGCAAAAGAAATCAAGCTGAAACCTGTTCTCTCAAAGAACCTTTTTTTTTTTGAAACTGGCAGCTGGATTTTAATAGTGTATATATTAAACAGTTTAGAAAGATAAATTCTTTGAGTAAAAATTATCACCCAAGCACTCTTAAACTCTTTAAAACAGACTAGATTTTAAATTAAGTTTAAATACTACTCAACATTATTGCTCTTTGGGGGAAATAAGTACTTATAAATTGCTTTTCCGGAAGTTGACCTTGAATATAAGTTTCAGGTCATTGTAAACAGGATCATTTGAAATCTACATTTCCTTTCCTTTTCCTAATTCATTTCAGTTGCTCAATAGGATTTTCTCATGAAATTAACTTTTGCCTCTCTGCATAGTTACATAAGCTTGCTCTTCTAATCATGAAAAATGTTACCCATTTCAGCACGTATTAAGGTGGACTTCCACTTGAAGGGTTTCTGGATTTAAAAGTCAGAGTATGTGACTAGAGGCAGAGAATCCTCATCATTTATAGCCACAGAATCTTACTGTGAGTTTTAAATGTCTTTGGAAAGCCAGATCTTACACCCCCAGAGCAGGCTTTTGTGTGAGAAATCTTTTAGTGAACTACTTATTCAGGTCATATGATTCTAAAAGCCCTGCTTTTCTTTCCTCAGGATAAATTGAATTATGTGTTACCAATAACAATGCCACATCATTTCAAAGAAAACTAAATTAAATTGTGCACATCCAGGTTGCTGGAAACTGGGCAACATAGAATAAGCACTGTTTTGTTTACCAACCCAAGGATCCGCCATAACAAAATGCCATAGGCTGGTCGTCTTACACAACAGAAATTTGCTTTTTCATAGATCGGGAGAATAGACATCCCAGATCAAGGTGTGCTGGCTGATTCACGTCCAATGAAGATGTTCTTCCCATCTTGACTACTACCTTCTCTTGCTGTGTCTTCGCCTAGCAGAAAGTGCTGTGGTGTCTCCACGAGGACCCCAATCCTGTAGTATTAGGGCTCTACTTTACGGCCCCTTTTAGCCTTTACCATCCCCTCAGGCCCTGTATCCAAATACAGCCACATTGGGGAGTCCAGCTTCGGTGTATGAGATTTGATTAAAAATTATGGTGAATGTTTAAATCTTTTAAATGTATTACAGTAAAAGATACATTGCCTTTAATCTCCCTCAGAATACCCTCTCCCTAACCTTAAACACATCCCATCACCCTTGCGACTTTCTGAAGCAGTTCTAGATGTCCTCTTGTGTGAAAATCTTTGGTTATGTGTCATGGCTGCCTGAAGATCCTGAGCTAATTCAAAATGTTCATTTTTTATGGTCAGTTTTACTTTGGGGAAGAGCCAGAGGTCCCACAGTGCCAGATACGGTGAATTAAGGTGAATGAGGACACGCTGTAATTTTCGAAACTGCCTTTTCATTGGATGGCACTTAGCAGCATTCATCAAATTTCTTACCATACCTCATAAAGACACTTAAGAAAGAAGACTTCCAGAACTGCTTCAGAAAGTGGCAAGGATGATGGGATAAGTGTGTTCAAAGCAAGGAGAAGTATTTTGAAGGGGACTAATGGCAGTGTGTCTTTTACTATAATAACATTTTTTAATTTAAACATTCATCATATATTTTGATCACACCTCGTGTGAATGTTGGAGGGGCACAGGTGCTCAGTCACCACCATCTTGTCACATATGCCTGTGCCTCTTCCCAATCACAGTCCCTCGCTTCATTAGCAAACACTCAAATGTGGATTTTCTTCAGATACTATTTTTGTTCACTTATGTAACTACCTAGTGGTGTTACACATTCTAAGTAGTTTTTGCCATGGGGAAATGGGCGTGGATTAACCAGCTGGCCGTGAGTGACCTTGAAGGCCTACATGGGGAAGATGGGTTGGAGAAGTGGGTAGATGAAGAGTGCTCTCTGACTTGAGCAGCTTCAGAGGAGCTTGGGTTCAGGTCCCAGGCTCCCCGACACTGTGCCCAAAGCAGTTTTCCAGTTCTCTGTCATGGAAAGACCTTTTATTATATGGCAGCAATGTAGATTTTAAAGATTTAAGAATCTTTAAGGCATTTTAAATCATCCTCCACCCTGTTTTATTTGTGATCTCTTTCAGATTGTTTGAAGGACGTTCATCAAGGAAACCAGAAAAGCTTAAAACACTCTTCTGCTACTTTCGAAGAGTCACAGAGAAAAGTAAATTTTTTAAATTTTTGTTTTTATTTTCCTTGCTGACAAGAACAGTTCAGGTATCATGGGATGAACATTCTGTGTTTAAAGTACAACTTTTGTCCAAACTATATTTAAACAATAACAATGTAATGTTGTAACCTAAATTTTATGTATATGTTATATATGTACACAGACATGTACTATGAATGTGTGCAGGTTTTTTGAACTCTAAAATCAAACCCTTCTACTTTGAAATATGCAATATATGTCAGAGGCTTTTCATAAGTAAAGCCAGTAAATTAATGCTTTCAAAAGAAAGTGTACAGACCAGAATATACATTTTGAATGCTCTTCAAAGAAGGAGTAACTAGGTGAAATTCATTTATAGTACAGGCTATTTAATTCATTGGTCTGCCCATTCCTCCTTTTTGTTTCTCCTAACCCCTTTTGTAGAGTTCATATAAAAAAATGATTATACCATTTGCATATGTCTTCCTCTGTTGTGCCTTAACCATCTCGCTTTCCCAGTGCCAGCAGCAGTAGTGAGTGTCCAATACATGCTGGTAATGAGCAGCTAAGAACGGATTAGTATTACCACTCTTACCTCGAGCTCACTGACCATGGCCCTCTTATCTCAAGCTCAGTGACCATGGCCAAGTTTCTTAACACCTCTGTGCTTCAGTTTTCTCATCTATGCAATGAAATAATGATAATTATTTTATAGGATAGTTGCAGATATTAAACAAGAAAATACATGTTTAATATGTTCATCGTTATCAACATGTAATATGTTGGACAGATTTCCCAATGCTAAGACACAGTACCTGACACCTACAGCTTAAAGTTGGAAAGGCTTAATTTGGCTTATGGTTTCAGGGGATTCGATCCGTGGCCAACTGACTTCAGGGCAAAAACATCATGGCAGAAGGGCATGGCAGAGCAAAGATGCTTATTTCATGGATACAAAAAAACAGAAGCAGAATAGTGCCAGAGAGAGATAAGGGACCAAATATACCATAGTTCCCAAGGTCACGGCTCAGTCACCCACCCAGACAGACCCAAAAGTGTACTTTACTAATCTTGTAGGCATATCTTAATCCAATCAAATTGATGTATCAGGATTATTGGTCATAGGTAAACTTTCTACAAGTTATAATCACAAAAACCAGAACACCTCAAAAGTTTCCATTTGTAGACCAGCTTGGTCAACTCTGGTCATTATAAAATGAGTTCTTTTCCATTCTGGTCATCAAACTTGTTGGATGATCTTAAACCAAGTCTTGGAATCACTCTAAGGTCATTTTTCTCATTTATTTCTTATTTATTTTTCATTATTTAATCTCA